ATAAATTTTCTAGTTTTTTGGCCGTGATTTTTACATTAATGTAGCAAACATTAATTTCAGTAGGTTTCAGTTGGTCACATCTAGTAAGGTTTCTACGCCTGCTAAAATGTGTTTATATTTCTGTCTTGCCGCTGTAAGGTTTCTGCGCCTACTAAAACATGCTTCTATATGCCTTTGTTGTGATGTAGGATGGCTAGAATGAATTCGTCCATTTGGTGTGAGAGGTAAACGGTGTCTCGGATATAGGACATGGCTTGCGACGTCCACGACTTCCTTTGCTTGCGGCGGTGGCGTAGCGTGATCTTTATGTAGTTGATCGGTTGGGGTTGTTATGATGATTGTAATAATTGTCCCATCAAGTGGGAAGGGTTTTATGGGTTTCTATGCATTGTTCATCTATTAATTAAACACCCCTTAGTGGGTTATTATGCATGAAACACTTTTATATTTGATTCTAGCTAAATGGATTATTATGCACCAAACAATTGGTTTCTATGCATACAATAAAAATGGAGACGCAAACCAGCAACAAAAGTAATTTGTCTTCATCCAACCACTATATTTTATGCAACATCGGCGCAACAAACTTTTCTGTGCACCTTGATCAGGGATTATATGCATGGCTGTTGTAAGTTTTCTACGCCTACTCAAACATGTTTATATGTCTTTGTTGTGATGTAGGATGGTTGGAAGGATTCCTCTCCAATTGTTATGAGAGGTCAATGGTGGCTCAGACATAGGACATGGCTTGCAACTTCCTTGCTTGTGGCGGTGGCATAGTGTGATCTTGATGTACTTGGTGTGTTAATGTAAAAAGTTAGTTTTCCATATGTTATGTTTATACGCTTGGATGACATGAGGAAAACTATTGGTTTCTATGTAACCTTAGTTGGGTTTCAATATTTTGTTTGACTGAGTTTCTATGCATGTTGTGAGTTGGGACCATTAGATAGTCTACACCTAGTGGTTAGTGTTTTATATGTTTCTATACATTGTTTTTTTATTAATTAAATATGTCCCTGGAGGGAAGCATGGTGTAAAGTTTCTATGCATTGTTCCTCTATTAAATAAATATCCCCTGGTGAAAAGCATGGTGCGGGTATGGACTGTTACGGTGTTGGTTATAATAGGCCCCCTCCCCTAGTAGGAAGGGTCTGTTCTTGTATTAAATAAACATCCTCTAATAAAAAAGCATGGTGTGGGTTGAGGCCGTTACGATGTTTGTTATAATTACCCTATCCTATGGGTAGTGTTTTATAGGTTTCTATGCATTGTTTAATGACAGCCCTGTTCATCACAATTCTAAAGATGATCGTCACAGATGAGTCGCGCGAGTGATCTGTAACGAAACCCTACGCTCTTCTATGACGTTTTTTGTGACAATGTCTGATTTCGTCATAGAAAGGGTATGTTGCAGGATCGTCACCACTGATCTATGATGAAACAGAAATATTCGTCATAAAAAGATATTTCTAGTAGTGTCTAATAATTGAACAGCCTAGAAAGAAGCATTGTGTGGGTTGGTGCAATCAGGCTTTTTGAAACAATAATACCCAGAGGGGAGATTTTGTGAGGGTTCTATGGCATTGTTCCTATATTAGTTATACATCCCCGAGTGGAAAGCATGGTGTGGGTGTGTGCAATCACAGTTTTCAAAAAAATTAATACCCAGAGGAGAGGGTTTTGTGAGGGTTGTATGCATTGTGTCCCATGTTAATTATACATCCCTATAGTGAGAAGCATGATGGTGGAGGCAATCACAGTGATATCAGGTGGAATGCTCATCTCACGGAGAGATTTTTTACGAGGTAACACAAATAATTTTTATTCATCCAACTATAATTTATATGCAACGTCGGCGCAAAAAAAACTTTTCTGCGCATCCTGACCATTGATTATATGCATCCAATCGGCCATCACGTGCCATCATTCAAATTTCAAACTTTGGAGAAGACGAGATCGTCTTCATGTTTCTATGCTCTCGCTCACGAGATTCTATGCTTAGACGGAAGCATAAAACTCTATATCTTAATGCGTAAATTTGTGAATTTTAAAATTTTTCAAAAAATTTATTCACATTGGATCTTGAATCGTGCACAAAAATGTTAGGAGTTCAATGGTGAAAACCAGTTTTTGAATCGGATGCTTCTTTGAGAAATTATAATGAAAAAAAGAGATTAGATTGGATGCGTGCATACATGCATGCGTCAACTTTGTTAGGTTGTGTCAGCCAGAACGTCGAGCTCGCGGAGAGGTTTCTATGCGGTAACGAAATATATTTTAATTCATCCGATGACTAATTTCTATGCAACGTCGCGACAAAAACCTTTTTGCGTAGCTTGACCTGGGATTTTATACATCCGATCGGCTGGGTTCGCAGCAGGCCCCCACCTGCGCACGCGTCAGCTGCGCGGACCTGAATGGTTGGGCTGGCTGGGGCTCTCCATTAGCTATTGGAAGCCCTGAATAAAATTAGAACATAGTGTTTGTACAATCACACTTTGCCCATAGACAAAATGTTGAACATTCTATTTTCTACGACAACCTCAACCATGATGAAGTCGGCTAGTTTCTCTTGTGGTCCTATAATCCCGGACTCTAGTTGCTTACGGGTGTGAAGCTCTACGCGGTACCAATGAAGCAAAAAAAGTATTGAAATGCACGTATTACACAAAACAGTAATGTGTTTCGTCGATGTACAATAAATGAAAAGCATACACACCAGATGATCTCCATCAAATGAGTCATCGCCACTAAACATGTGCACTGCCCATCAGCTATGTTAGAATAAACATGTCCTGGATCAATATATAGGATCTCAATTATTCTCCGGATCTTAATTAGACTTACAACCCGATAGTGAAGCTAGATCACTGCCGACTCCGGCACACCCGACAGTGATAGGTCAGTGATAGGTCAGCGGAGATTGTGTTATATGTAGTAGTGTGTGATAATTTTTAAAGAAAAGCCTCCACACATTAACTCTCGACCCAGAAAAAAAACTACCAAGTTAATTAATTAGACAAAAATAAAATCAAAGTACCCATATACTCCCTCTGTCCAAATTTAATTGCATGTTTATAGTTTTAAAAAATCCCAAAATAAAGGGATTCGATGAGGAGCAGTGCTAGTCTCCGTACGTACAATCTATGCTAGCGTAAATGCCACTCTGGAACCATCGATGGAGAAAATAAAAAAACTTGAATGCTCAATTACGTGGAATGCTCTCCACCACTCGTTTGCTGGCTCCAGGCGGCAGCCGCACCAACTGCACTGCCAATCTTCGTACGGTAAGAAATGACAGCTACACTTTCTAGGGGCAGAAATGTAATTTCACATTTATAGTATTTTTTCCATTTGAATCCTAAACGTGCTTTTATTGTTGGACGGAGGGAGTATATGTGAAAAATGACACACCACTGCCATTATGAAAAAATGACACATCTCTGTTTTTATATTACCCACGTAGACTATGTCATTATATAACAAACTACATGTGTTGCAGCATGTACACAGTTAGAGTTAAAGTTGCAACTTAAATGATGTGTTCATGTAATTTATAATAAAAAAGAGTGTGAATCAACATAAACATAGTAAGTTTCATGCAATAAAGAAAGATATACTATGTAAGTAATTCTTTCCTGTCAGACCATGTAGATGGCTTGCCAGTTGGACTAACATATATATATATTGTCTACCCTACAGTAGTGAAAGAGGACGTGCCAATGTCAAATATAATTGTGAAAATAAAAGTAAGTATAATAAAAGAGTTGTGAGTGAAAATTTTATACTGAGATTGAGAAAATAGAAGATAAATAGGTTGTAACTTATAAGTTTAGGGAAAAAGTAGATCATGTAGTAATGATGAAATATGTTCTTCTAGCCAACAACTATACAGACGGAATAGTAAATAAACAGTAAATATGTATATAACTAGCTGTGGCCTCTATTATTAGTCGTACTCTAAGAATGTCATTATAAAGCATATTGGTGTTAAAAGTGAAAGATCTCAAACTAAGGGGGGAAAGGTTTGCAAAGGTGGATGCAATAAAAAAAGAGGCTAGTGGCTCGTAGGATCATCAAAAACCAAGAAAAGAAGCCTACTAATCTATCCGTTCCAAATTATACGACGTTTTGGTCTTTCTACATACATTATTTTTACTATATATCTAGACATAATGTATATCTAAATCTATAGCAAAAGTTATGGATTTTGAAAAGTCAACATTTCACACTCATGGCTGATATAGCACAATTTCTTCCATTAGAGCCTAAACTATACTAACTTTGTCAAAACATGATCATCTTGAACAGCATATTTGCACGTATATATTATATAATGGGGTTCTTGCGTTTATACCCTTATTTTGTATCGAAATTATGATTTTACTCATATTTTTTGACTTTGTGAATTTACCCCTACTGTGACATTCACGAAGCACCAGTTTGCCCTTGTTCCGTCATCCACCCCTAACGGTGTTAAACTTTGTATAAAAAGACATGAATGCCCATACAATTTTGCCCCTATTTGTTATGCATAATTATGATTTTACCCTGATTCGTGAATTACTTACTAGTGGTTTTTCTTTTCTTTGCTTTGCTTTTTTTTACTGGAGGTCATCAGACATTTCTTGCCAGGAAGGAAGGAAACACTTGACTGACTTGACTCGTGTCTTTTTAACTGACACCACATTTTTCACTCACTCCATTGAGTTCAGGACTTCAGGTCAGTCATTCCCGGCTGATCTTTACTTTTCGACTGAAAATTCACCCCCAAAGAATCTACTGTACTACTGAGCTGCAGTCACCTGAAAATTCACTTGCAATCTGGTATGGGGAATAAGGCTCCGGGGACCTCCTATGTACGGGCTCAGGCTCCCTCTGGTAACAGCCTTCTCCCTTCATCCCCTGCTTCTTCACCCCTCCCCTGTTTCCAGCTGCTCCAGGAACCGAAAACAGAGGAGGAGCAGCGCGGCGGCGGGGCATGGATCGATCGATCGTCAGTCGTCGTCATCAGTGTCAAGAAAGAACCAAGGAATCAAGAAATCATCATCAGGCCTGGGCCTCCAGCTCCCGTTCGCCGATGAAGGTGCTGTGGAAGCCGTAGGGGACACGGGACAGTGGACGTCGTAGCTGAGCGCGAACAGCTCGCCGGACGCCGGGTCCAGCTTCGGGTGTGCGATCATGGACGCGCACCCGGCGAGCTGCCCGTCGAAGTCGTACCGCCCCACGGTTCGGAGGTCGCCGTCGGCGGTGACGCGCACCTGGTACGGGAGGTCGTCCTCGGACATGGCGAGGAGTCGGCCGTTGAAGTAGACGAGCCCCGCGTTGGCCACGCCCGTGCCACGGGACGGGTCGACGAGGTCGCAGAGTCTGCGCGCGTAGAAGAGCGCTAGGCGCGCGATGCCGGAGTGGCCATGCAGCTCGCCGATGGTCTCGGTGAACCGGCAGGCGTAGGACTCTGCGGCGCCGTTCCGGATGCGGACCGCGTGCACCATGCCGTCGCCATCGAACAGGTGGTGCCCTGCCGCCGGCTCGAAGCAGGGATTGGCGCCGTTGCGGACGTACACTCTCGTGCCCAGAAGAACTAGAGGCAGGTGCCCCGAGCCACGCCGAGAAGAGACCCGCCGGGAGCCGTAGACGGGCGCCGCGGAGACCCGCTGCCAGGCGCCACCGGGAGCCCCGTCCAGGCACCGGAGCCGCCTGCTCCGCCAGCCCTGATGCCGCTCCGCCCGCCCCTGCGCCCCGGCCCGCTCCGCGTCCACATCGCCAGGCGCCCCGGCAGCCGCGGCCAAGCACCGCCGCCGCCCGCCCTGATGCCGCGACTCCCGCCCTCGCGTCCCAGGCCGCTCCGAGCCCACGTCGCCCCGATGCGGGGTTGCCAGAGCGCCATGACCGGCGGCGCGAGGTCGCTAGGGTCACCGTCGCGCCGATGCGGGGTTGCCGGAGCGCCATGACCGGCGGGCGAGGTCGCCGAGGGCCGCCGTCGCGCGGGCGCGGGGTTGCCGGAGCGCCATGGCCGGCGGGCGCAGGGGCGCGCGGGCGCGACGGTGCTCGGCCGCCGGGGCGCGGTCGCCGGTCTTCTGTCCGCACGGAGCTTTCGCGTCAGTCGCGAGCAGACAGCAACGAAGAGAACGAGCGGATAAGAATGAAGATGAAAGGGCATTTCAGTCATTTCGCATCTGATTTTATGTGTTTTGTTTTTTTAAATCGTTTAATCAGCCTCTGAATAACGAACATCCAAACCAGGGGCAAACGGCTCCTTCGTTTCAAAATAACAGGGGTAAAATCACAAAGTTGAAAAAACAGAGGTAAAATCACAATGGAACCTCTGGACATGGGCAAAAACACCGTTTTCCCTTATACAATACTCCCAGTCCTGATTCTTGATCACAATCATGAAAGCATTGACAGGTCATTGGCTCTTAATAAGTTAATTAAAAAATTTGACATTGAGAACAAATGGTTAGGTCAAAATGCAAGTAACCAGATGTAGAGTGCTGGAATAGTTTGTCGGTCAGTTTTGGATATGCATGCTGCCATATGGAAATATATGCCACAAGAGACAGATTTACAAATTGTGAAGTTGCAATTTATTGCATTTGGCTAAACTCATGGTGGGATAACCACATATCCATTTAAATATAACTCTAGGAATAAATTGCTTCTCGCATAGCCCTTCCAAAGCCATTTGAAATGCATCCCACTGGGATTATTTTGAACTAGGCGCTCCATTTATGAAGCTTACTGAGTTACAGTTTTATATGCTGTGAATACTTCCAAAAAAAATTTTATTCTCCTAAAATAGGGCCCTGCTGTTGTTGCTTGCGCTTCTTGTGCTGATTATGGGAGCTCTTCTTCCTGCGGAAAATCTATTTGAAGCACTTGTGCAAGCATCTCCCATGGATTGTGTGGAAAGTAAGTGTGTTTCGCTGCTATCTTGTTTGTTTTTCTTGGGTGCAGGCTATTTGATAATTATGGAGGTTTGGTATATAGATAAGCTTAGATTTTGGTACTTTCAAACCCCCATTCTTTTAGTATTAATGTTAAATTTATTATAGGTTATAGTAAAATTCTGTTGACTTGCGCATCTCTGGTTTTCCCAATGTAAGTTGATTTGATTACATCCTTGTTTAGCTTAAATATAACTTGTTTTATCAATTGAGTTTCATATCAAACTTGTGAAATTTATTATTTTTACCGTGTTTGATATTTTACTGAAGGAATATTATACATCCAAGTCACATTCCACAGAAAACTTACTATGTCCCAAAGCTCTCATGGAATCATTCTGATCTGGCATGCCACAATTATGCACTATAATTGATTCACTATATTTCCTAAAATGATCTAAATCTAATCAAGTTTAGGTTATTCCTTGTTTGCTGACTCAAAATACCATGGTGGCAAAGATATTGGAAGGAAGATTGTTGATGTGAACATGGACCTAACCAAGACCAAGGGCAAGAATTAGGTGTACATGTGGGGAATGGAGCCTCAAGCATATGAATTGTGTTATCAAAACACTAATTGTTATACATCTATGAAGATTTTTTTTTGACAAACACGTGCTATGGGTATTATCATACATCTTGTATATGTGGTCAACAGAGTAGGAATATTTTTTATACGATATAGTAATTGACTTGTTAAACATTTGACTTCTATACTGATCCATCTTGATATATATTTTTTAAAACACGTGCATGTCGCACGTGCGTGTCATACGTGCACGTTCACTAGTAGTTTTGAACAGAGGGAGTAAAACAACCTTAATTGACTTCCTGCATAAAATAGGAGGAATTGGCGATTGACACGGGTTCGTGACAGCAAGCAGGAATGCAACGGTCATGGGGCTGCCAGCCAGCCACAGCCCACAGCCACATCCACATCCGGACGCGGACTAGCCCACCTTTTGTCCGACCCAACGGGCCGACTCTGTGAACCGCCCACAGGACAGGATGGTGTTGGCAGGGAGCCCGCCGCGTCGGTACATCACGAGCGGGCCAGAAGAGGGAAGCGCCGCCCAGACCCATCCAGAGCACGCCGCGGCAGGTATGGCCCATGGCCGTATGGGCGTGGGCCCTGGGGTGCCACGCGGGTGGTCACGCCCGCTGGCTCGGCGCCACGCCGCCATGCTTAAAGCCGAGAGAGCCAAGCCAAGCCTCCGCGCTTCCATTCTAATCCGTAGTATCCCATCCCAATTCCCAAGCCGCCGTGACCGCTCCATTTCTTCCTCCGCGCCCATCCCTCGCCGCCTCGCGCCTGCACCGGAGACGACGGTCCGGTCCCATTGCCCGCGCACCTGCCACTGCGAGGTAAGCTTGCTCTGCCCTGCTCGTATTATCCGTCTCTTATCTGATAATGCACGGGCACGGCCTGCCGGGAACGGGAACTTGAGAAGAAGGCTTCTGGGCGAACCGCCGCACCGGATTTCTGGCCTGTACTTCTCGCGTTAGTTTCCCAGGCCGTCAGCAGTGGAGCGACTAGCTTAGCCCTTTGCATCTTTCAGTTATTAGTGACGAAGAAGAGCCTGAAGTGCCGTAGGTTTCGTGTTTCTGAATGGCAGAATGAGTATGCGTAGTTTTCTTCTCGCTTTGTTGAAATTTTAGTTCCCTATTTTGAATCCAAGTAGGCGGTCAAATCTGAGTAGTAATCTTTAAATGCAATGTGTTCTGCGCTACATTCAGGCCAACAGTGGATACTACTGAATGGCGATGTAGTTGTCAGTTGTCCTGAACTGAGTGGAAAATGGCCAATGTGGTTGAGTTTGTCATCTCATCTGTGTGTTGGAATGCTTAACATAGGTACTGGGCCATTGAATTCACCGATACTGTGTCCTCTGTCCGGTCTTTTTCAGGAGTTACCTGACAGTGTTATGCAGAGCCTTTTTTTAAGAAACGAACAGGCACGAGATTGTGCCTATTTCATTTATAGAGAAGTGAAAGGTACACCCCTAAAGCCGGGAAAGAAAGCAAAAAGGTTCACTCTTGGTCTTTGTAGACAGCCAAACAACAAACCTGATCTTCAGCAAATAATCCTCATGACGAGAAGTAGCGTCACTTAATTGAAGGATACAAAGTGTGTCAATAACTAATCCTCTTGGTCTTTGTTCTGCTTCTGCAGATTCCTAAAGGATGCAATGCATGCCATGATAGTTGTCTTTCTTACTTTTATTCTTATTGCTTATGCAAGCATTTTTAACACTATTAGTCGGTCCTTTTAATGTTCTGTGTTTTTCCAAAGTAGCCTGACTCATTATGATAGGGTCATGACTCATGAAAATTCAAGTGGGGATGACAGATATCCACATAGAGCCTTTCCGGCAGAAATGGAAAAGCTTGTTCACTAATCACTACTATGGTCCTGAAATCATGATATGTGTCATGCACTTCTAATGTCTATGCGTGTTTGAGGGGGAAAAAAAACTTAGTGTCTACATCAATATCCAGGTTGCTGTTGTGTGTTATGTGGTTTGATTGGGTTTGGTCATCTGGCCGGGTGTACTTAGGTTTTAGTTGAGTTTTCCTTAATAAACCGTTCATTGTATGCTTTTTGGCCCGGTTTTTCTTACAAACTGGACCAACTCTTTTCTACCTATAGTGAATAGTGGGAACTCCTTACTTTCTGCCCTTTTCGGAGGATGCTTCGGGGAAAAAAAATGTTTATGTTGGGTAGCTGCTCGGAAAATGTTTCAATTCATAGTATGTACTTTGTGACCCATAATTTTTGCAGTTACATGCTGTTGAAGCTATCAGCTATGACCTAGAAACAGTAAACCCCCAATAACTTTTCTGTTCTGATTACGAGTTTTACAGGTCTCAAACACCCAAAGATGTCAACTTTCACATCCCCAGTTCTCTGCAACTTCATGACCATCCAACAGAAGAGCGCGCCTCTGCTGAACAACAGCACAAGACGGCCCCTGCGCCTGAGCTTCCCAGGGACGACAAGGAGCGTGCCGACCTTGCCGGGCTTCAGAGCGAGGCAAGACTTGCGCGTCGCCGCCGTCTACAAGGTGAAGCTCGTCGGCCCCGAAGGGCAGGAGAGCGTGATCGACGTGCAAGAGGACAGCTACATCCTGGACGCCGCCGAGGAGGCCGGTGTCGAGCTGCCCTACTCCTGCCGCGCTGGTGCGTGCTCCACGTGCGCCGGCAAGGTGCTGGAGGGCTCCGTCGACCAGTCGGACCAGTCGTTCCTGGACGACACGCAGGTCGGTGCCGGGTATGCGCTCACCTGCGTCGCGTACCCGACGTCTGACTGCGTCATCCAGACGCACAGGGAGGCAGACCTCTACTAGGTAGCCCGGCCCCACGCATGGATCAACGACCATGCACTTCCGTAGCTCCATTCGGATTCGATCTTGAGTTCTTGACAATGTGATTCGCACTTGTGTTCTTGTCCTTGCAGCTAGCTAGAACTAGTATACTCTGGATATCTCGTCATTGTGCAAGTGTGGTTCTTGTGGTTTGGTTGGTTCGTCCCGTGTTTGTTCTCTCTGGATATCTCGGAATCTGCCAAACCCTGTCTCGAAACCAACGGCAGCTCGGTGGTCGCCAGGCGTTTGCCTCACCGAAAGTGCTTAGGCCAGAGCAATAATTTGGGTGCTACTTTTTTTTTCTCAAAGCACATTACATGGACACAATTAAATATGCACGCATAATTATTACTATGGACGCCTGCGAGCACGTTGTCAATCACTGAAATGGTTAAATTTTATAATAAATTTGAAAAAAAAATACAAGCACATGTTCCAAGTGAAAAGAACCCTACTAGTTGAGGTACATGCATTTTATAATTAATTTGAAAAAGAAATATAAGTACATGTGTCAAGTGAAAAGAACCTACTAGTTGAGCTACACTCGCTAATTTGGGTGCTACTCAATAGGAATTCGAGGACGTGTCCCAAAAAGATAAAAGAAAGGTCCTTCGATTCAGTGGCGGAGCCACCCTAGGGGCGGGGTGGGGCGGGCGCCCCAGCTACCGGCAAGCTCACCTTAAACCCCTGGACCCCCGCTTCTTCCCTAACCCCGGTCCCCGGCGCCCGGCAGCGAGGAGTAGCGAGCAGCTGAGCACGAGCAGAGCGACTACGGCGCTGGAGAGCAAGAAACCAGGAGATGGGGATGGGATTTTCCTTCACTTTAGCCCAGGCGGCCAGCAGATCATTCCATCAAAGCCCACGTCGCACACTCCTCCTTCCCTGAGCCCAACTGAAAACCAGTGGAATCTTTTCCCATCCCCATTTTCTGAATCGACGACGCGCTAACACCCTCGGCGAGTAGTCCATTGGTGGTCGCAAATCCACCCACCCGCCATGACCTGCGCCCACTTTGGTGCTCGCCTCCCACCATTGCATCGGTGGCCGACAATGTCTTTGGAGAGATTCTTGCTAGCTCAACTGATCAAGAACTACTAGTTTATTCTTCAAATTTGAGGTAACATCTTGTGTTTCTCGTCTACTTTTCGCCATAACGTGTGATTACAGTGTTTTTGCCATGATTTGTGTGATTGTAGTATTTGAATGTGGTGTGCTGTGAATACATACCTTTTTGTTCATTTCCTCGTTGCACTTCGCCCCACCTATTTTTTTTTCAAGCCACTACTTCGATTCTTGACAAAATGAGAGAGAAATCAGTTAGGGCAGTTTAGGCATACAACAATAGTAGTCTCACAAAAGCAGTGTTCAAGCATCATTGAGACAACTATACACACATCGTAAGCAACAATTTTTTTGGAAAAATTTCTTAACCCCCTCAACTATTGGTGGTTGTCAAGTTCACCCCCTCACCTATAAAACCAGGTATTCTACCCCTCAACCTATTGAAAAACGTCTAAATGATCCCCTGATGTGGTTTTGAAGGTAGTTTTGCTGACATGGCATAATAAGAAGTCTATATAACCCCCTAACATATCAAGGGTTGACTGCATGACCCCCTTAACTATAAAACATGATATTATAGCCTATAAAGCATCAAATAATGTTCAAATGACTTATGGGCTAAGGTCATTTGGACACCATATCCTGCCACACTAGTATAAACACACATGCTTGCACGCAGGCCATTGTTGCCTTCACCACCCTACTCTTTCTAGGTTGATCCATCGCCCAACGAGCAGCATATGACATCTTGTCTCCTGCTTCATCTCCCATCACTCGTCGATAGCATTGAGCTCAAGCACGCCATGCCTACATCGTCATCGTTCAGCCCCTCCCACATCGGGGGGGTTAGCGGAAAGCCTGAAAAGAGTTCAGAGAGGAAGGCAGTCAATAGGACATGTGCAAGCATATGTGCTTAGGCAAGTGTGGTGGGATACGATATCCAAATGACCTTACATGACCATCATTTGAACATTATTATATGCTTTAAGGGATTAAATATCACCTTTTATAGTTGAGGGGGTCATGCAGTCTAACCCTTGATAGATTAGGGGGTTATATAGACTTTTGAATATGCTACGTCAGTAAAAACACTTTCAAAACCATCTTAAGGGGGTTATTTAGACAGTTTTCAATAGTTAGAGGTGTAGAATACTTGGTTTTATAGATGAGGAGGTGAAGTAGACAACCATCAATAGTTGAAGAGGTTAAGTAGACTTTTTCCATTCAGTGTCCCTATCCCTCTTCTCTCTCCTCTCCACATGTTGCTTTTACCTTCTTTTTTCTCACAAAACTAGTAGCTTCATACTTTTTGTTAGCTAAGCTATAACATCTTCTGCACGAGACTAACACTTCGGTAAGCATCTAACAAGATGAGTTTGCTATTTTGTCAGGTGTGTAAGACTGAGGCTACAAGACACGTAGGAGCGTTATGGCTGGCCTTACTGCAGTGTCAAAAAAAAAAGGAAAAAGGAAAAAAGAAAGGTCTTTGATTCTTGACAAAATGAGAGAGATGTCGGTTATTGTGGTTCGATTCATTGGGTAGTTGATCTGACACACAAAAGCAAGGTTAATAGGCCAGAGGGCCAGCCTCGATATTATGGGTTTGCTAGAACTACATATAAATGGCTGTGTCAACCGTTCAATCTGAGCCCATGTGTCACATATGGTTGAACGATTCTCATGCGTTAGATCTGTTTTTTAAAAGAACAGCTAAGGGATAAGATATAAAGTGAGTGGAAATTTATTAGGTGACGTATCATCATAGTCAATCTTTCAAGTGTTAATTTTTAATTTTTTCCTTGCAGCCCATGAAAAATCGCGCCTTTGAAGGTCTTAGCCCCACCAGACCTAGTAAAGCACGGGAGCACAGGCCCGCTCGGCCGCTCCCTCCGGAAGTCCCGATCCCCGCCTCTGTCTCTTCTTCCGTTCGCGTTCGCTGAATCGGCCGTGGTGGCGCCATCCGCACCTTGCCATCTCGTCGTTCGGCCATACCCCGTCCGCCGCCTCCCACCTGCTCGGCCCCAGCCGGCTACCGGTGCTCTGCAGTCGGCCGAACCCCCAGCCAGATTTTCCCCAGGCGGTCAGCCCCTCAGGCCCCCCTCCCCTCGCCCCTGCACCGGCGGCCTAGGCACCGTGCGCAGAGAGGGTAGGAGACTGTCCAATCTCCATCTGTTGACTGCTCACTAGTTACTGCTGGTATGCTACTCTTTAATATTTCATGCCCTTTTAATTGTAGATTATTATTACTCTCAATAATTAATTTTAGTTGCATTAGACACCGTACTTTGAATTGTTTATCTACTATGTTTTAGTATAAAACCTGCTTTGAGCTACTACATTTAACTTGTATGGGGCATAACGGCTTTATGTTGGTCTAGGGCTCTTTGCTCAGCCCCTCATATACTTTTTCTTGGCCCTCCGGATGATGACCTCGACTGCGTCGAGGCCAAGGTGTTCGGCAGAATGACACGCCGGGAAGTGGCGGCCTCGCTGCACCAATCGCTTGCCAGGTTCTTCGTGCATGACGACCCAGAGAAATTCCACTGGCTTGTCGCTGCCAAGATTAGCCATCACAGAGCCCTGGGCTCTGCGGACCTCGCCTGTACCCTGCAGGCGTGCAGGGGGCGAGGCAACCGATGGCCGCTCGTGCTGGAGATCCATGCGATGTCAGTCGTGCGTGGCCTTGGGGCTGACCGCCTTATAGGCAACCTGCTGATTGATCTGTACGCCAAGAATGGGCTCGTGTGGCAGGCAAGGCAGGTGTTCAAGGAGCTTTCTTCCAGGGACCATGTCTCATGGGTTGCCATGCTGTCAGGGTATGCACAGAATGGTCTTGGGAAGGAAGCTTTCAGGCTTTACAGCCAGATGCATTGGAGTGCTGTTGTTCCTACGCCGTATGTTCTGTCTAGTGTGCTGAGTGCTTGCACTAAAGGAAAACTTTTTGCACAAGGTCGGATGATCCATGCCCAAGTTTACAAGCAAGCATTCTGTTCGGAGACCTTTGTGGGCAATGCACTTATTGCACTTTACTTAGGATATGGATCCTTTAAGCTAGCATGTCACGGAAGCGCCTACTGCACCTGCACTGCCTGAAGCCGGCCCGTCAGCGGTACCCCGTATGGCAACAGCACAGAGGAAGAGTGAATGTGTCAAGTTTCCAAGTACTCGTACTACTAGGCCTCAATGGGCTTGATCCCTAGGCACTAGAAGCAGCTGTGCTGCTGGGACAACCCACCGGCAAGCCGGATGTATAAATGAGGAGCTCTGCTCAGAGAGAGGGCAACATGTATTGAACCAAAACAAACCCAACTATAATCATTCCTCTGATCTCCAACCCCGTGCTCTGCTTCTTCTTCCCCAAGTCTGTCTTCCTATCTCCTTCCCCAATTCAGTTACCCTAACAAACCTGGTATCAGAGACGAGTCGATCCCCGATCACGCGAGATCCCCTATTCCATCGATCGCCTGAACAAATGCTGTTGGTTGGTTCGAGTTTCCGGTGGTCAGTGAGCTACTGAGTACCGGTGTCGGATACCACAAGAAGGGGTACCCTAGGCAAGAACCGAAAATACTGCTTAAGCCCTACAAAAATCAAAGCCAAAGGACAACCATGAGGTCTCGGCCAATTCTCCGATTCGCCCGAGGCTTACGCCAAGGCCTCGGACGAGAGGCCAAAGCCCTCCGCCCCGCCGAGGCCCTCTCGTCGAGGCCCCGCCCCGCAAGGCTTCAGACGGGATGCCAATTCTCCGATTCGCCCGAGGCTGGGCTCAGCAACAACCTCATCACCTCCACCCCGATCGGCTCCTCTGACAAAACGTCGCGTCCGGATTAATGCGGCCAACTACTCCCGCAACGTCAGCCGCACACTGGCACAGTTCGGGCAGAACGACTGACGGGACAGGGGACCGGGCGCAGCAGGGGTTACCTGCCACTGTGCTCATCACTATGCCCCCTGCTGACACCCGTACTGCCCTGTGCTACCTAACCCCTGTGCCAAGGACAAAGCGGCGTGGAAGGTCAAGTCCATGTCCCTGTAGTCTCGGAAACAGCAGGAAAGCCCAACCGCTCGTCCTCCGCCTCGTCCGAGACCCCCCGGCAGGGCCTCGGACGTACTTTTCCTTCTCCGCTTCGGCCGAGGCCGGGCTCGACCCGCATCCTCGTCGACTCCGCCTCAGCCGCTCCTCTGGCGAGCTGTCCCATCCGTGTAAGTGCGCCTGGTCACACCTACTACGACAGCCACGATGGGCAGGGTAGAGCAACAGGGGCGATGGGACGGCGGTCAAATCTCCTTTTTTACCATCCCCTACTGACGGTGCAGGGATTACCGTGCCCTGCGGACGCCCGCTCCGCACTTTTCCACCTGGACCGGGTACGACGCGGACCATCGAGACCCCCGCACCACACACCGGTCACCTCCGAGGCCTCGGCAAAGCAAGCCTCGGCGCGGTCAGCTACAGCACCCGCTAGGCCTCGGCACTCCACCAAATCAAGAATCCACAAGGCACGGCATGTCTCCTGCCGTGGAGGCCATACTGACTAGACATCAACAAGGACCCCCATGACCTCAACAACCTCAGGCCTGGCCAGCACGACGCGTCAGTCAAGTACCGATCGCCATTCCCAACACCATACTGCTACAAGGCTGAACTGCGGTAGGCTCCATGTGTCGATCACTCATGTACTCCTGGCTCCTTCCTTACGGTTATAAAAGGAAGCAGCCAGGGATAGGATAGGGGGGAAGAAAAATATACGGAAGAACGACGCTCTCACACACGCGCAAACAACACTCTGTAACACACGCTCTCGCAAGCTGCCCGAGAGCAACGTCTCAAGCAGCCCGCCGAGACATGGGACTAGCTCCCTCTCTCACCCAGCTTGTAACCCCCTACCACAAGCATATCGGTGCAAGGAATACAAGATCGATCTCTCAGACTGGACGTAGGGCGCCAATTGTCTGAACCAGTATAAACCTTGTGTCTCTTTGCATCACCATCCGGGATTAGGGGCACGCAGTTCAAATTCACTGGTTGGTTGAGGACCCCTCGGTCCGAAACACCGACAGTTGGCGCGCCAGGTAGGGGCCTCTGCGTGTTAGCTTGATCGTCTCAACAAGTTCCGGATGGCTGACCCCTGTAACAGAACCGACCAATTATACGAAATTAAGTAAGAAAATCATCCACCAGAGTAGACGATTGAGCAAACTTAAGCCCGTATAACCCGATAGTCCGTGAAATCGCAAAGGATTTCAAACCAACTCGTGTCCCAGCCATGATCGTAATAAGTTTAGCGGTCACCATCACATATTACATAAAAGTTCGCAATCTCAGATACATCAGAGTTTAAACATAGTTATTACAAACCAGTTCGAATAAAAGTAGCGGAAGCCATTTGTTCAAACCACACACACTCACGCGGAGTTCAAATATAGTGCCAGCGAATGATCATCTCCAACAAAAGCATTAGATGAGACGTAGGGAATGACCATGCCCATGGTCCTAAGCATCACCCATCGCAGGATACAGGCAGTTGATACAATAGCCGTAATACATCTGCCCATCTGCAACAAGTGGGAATAAAACCCTGAGTACGAGAAGGTACTCAGCTAGACTTACCCGACATAACCGAAAATAAATGACACCAAGGATTATGAAGGCTTTATAGTAGGGTAGCTAACTCATTTGCAAAAGAAGCATCTTTAGCATTTCAAGAACCTTTCTAAAAGCATTATTGCCAAGTTAATTATTATGAACCTGTCAACTAGATTTGCACCTATACTAGAGTAAACATGTGATTAAGCCGATAATGATAACCAATGATCATTCAACAACTTCCATACTGTCATATTTACTATAACTGTCCAAGTGTTCCATAACATTTACTACGATGAAGTAACTCAAGTCAAGTGCTCACTATCCAGGGAGGCGATGGCGATTGAATCGATTCTAACCGGTGGTGATTTATTCCTTACACAAATCTCACTCACCCGCTAAAGTGAGATATTGATCACCGAGTCAACTTTCCGGTATCTCGAGTTTGCCAGAACCACATGTACCGGGGCCGACCGATCGCACTTTGGTCTTATCATCCCGCCCCGTGTCCTACCACACTGCTTTCAAGACGCGGCTTGTTGCGGGCAATCTACTCGGCCCGAAAAATCTCGGCTACAGCGGTCGGAAGGTACTTTATCCGACCAGCTAAATGTAAGGCATGCGTTCAACATGACTCGAGGCCCAACAACGGTCGGTCCTTAATCGACACTGAGACGGAAACACTACAGTCCAAAACTCGCAAGTCTCCGCCGGTCTCAACTTCATTTAACACTTAGTTATACCATGACTTCATAGCCATCCAAGCGAGATCCGGTAACCACCTATAGCTCGCAGTGTGACGAAATCACCCGACTTCTACCGGTCTAAGCCGGCTAAGCATTGACTCGATTGCGGATACCGGGGTAACAAGGATATAGTATAACAAAGGTAAACAAGGTATAATGCAAAGAACGGTCGCAAACAACTCTGAACGTAATGCATCAATTTAAAGTAAAGCATTTAATGAAATCATTGCAACCGGGAGAAAGATGCTCGGGCTTTGCTCTCTCGAAGGAGCTCGGACGGTGATCGGGGCACTCGGGAGTTCCTCAACGTCCTCCTCCTCGCTTGGCCGGCACTTCTGCTGCTTGCACTCGATTGCTCCTCGGGCTCCTCGGGTATGACGATTGGGTTCTCGGTTTGCGATCCTGTATGATGCAATGCGTGTAAGTGCCTATGCAATCGGTGCATCGGAGGAGATGAATGCAATGGATATGTTTAAATGCAAGATAGTCAAGCATCATCCAAGGAATTATATTACAAGCACATGTCATCTAATGCATTCTCTTCTACTACTAATATGTTAAGTTAACATATCTTATGAAATGCTTCAAAAATACACCAAAGCTTTACTACTTTCTTAATCACACTTAAGGCAACACTTGCTTAAACCCTAATTAATAATAGGTTTGAATAGCAACATATATTTTCGATGCTCCTAAAAATGAGAAAATTACAAAGTAGCATAATACTACCCTAAATAGACTACCATAAAAATTTCATGGCATTTGGATAAGTAAACTATCATACATAAAAATGACAAGCTATAGCATAAAAATGAGCATGAAATTACTTTGTACTATGAAAAGTGTCAAACAACAGATTGAGTATTTTTCCTATGTTCTTTATAGCATATAATCTTTGTACAAAAATTATCACATGCATGTTTTATACAAAGTTTGCTCTCTAACAAAAATAACAAAAATCAGCCATTAAAGGTACTTGAACTACACCTAAAACTTTTCCCACAGCACATGCATGAAACATATTTTCCTAGGAAGTACATGACATAATAAGATTAACAAACTTGGAATCATATTTTCCGAAGACTATAGATTTTTCTACATATTTTTCAAGTTATCAAATAATATCCATGATCAAATAAAATCCTACAGAAAATTATCCCAAAAATGACATGCAATAATTTTCCCAAGTAGATCTGGTGATAAGGAACCTAGCAAATTTTGTTTCAACAAATTTGGAGCAAGTTTGATCACCCAAACATTTTTCAAACCATTTGATTTCAATTAACAAATAATAAATGGAAATCAATTCATTTAAGAAATCTTGGGCGGCCCGTGGGGAAACAGTGGCCCATGGCCGCAGAATCGCCCACGCGGACCGAAAGCGAAAGGGGAGCGCTGGCTGACTGGCAGGCCTCGCCCACTGGCTGCTTCGGCCTTGCAGGCGGAGGGCAGGTGCCTCGCCGGGCGCCTTGTGTGGCCTTGCTGACGCAATGTCGCTCGGCAATGGCCGCGACCATCTCCGGCCACGGCAGCGCAAGCAAGCAAGCGCAGGAGATGAGCGAGGAGAAGGCGCGAGAGTTGGTAGGGTAGCTAGCGAGGTGGAGGGAGAAGGAAGACGGCTTCCATGGCGGCCGAGCATGGCGCCATGGCCGTCGGTGGCGAGGCGCGTGGGAAGCTCACCCCTGGGCTCGGAAGGCGGAGCAAGCTCGAAAGCGCGACTTGAAGGAAGGCGAGGCGGAGTTGGGCGCGAGCAATCGGAG